GTGTTTGTCGGCCGTACTCCGCGTACTTATCGGGACTTGTTTGTGTAGTGTATTAACTTCAGACGGTGAGACAACGCCCGTACCCAGGACGCTGTCGTGCTCGGAAAGCAGGAGGAGAAAGAGAGAGTGGCAGCGCGGCTGCTGCACTCAACAAAGGGGGTCCCGGTGCATCATCACCGTACCCCTACCTAAAAGGTTCTACACCATCTGCGTCACACTTGTACGTATGGCTAATGTATCCAAACCATGTCCGTAGACCCACGAACAGCCGCTGCTGGCGAATGTGTCTACGTCTGCATTACGTTCTCCCCGAAATCATCACCTCCAGAGCACCGGCCAGGAAAACCCACACTCCGTCGTTTCCGCGTCTCGCCGCGTGGAGGAGGGGAGAGGTGTTGCGGAACAAACCGTCCCCGTCGGCCGTATCGTTGATGGTACCACCGTACGTCTTCGTCAGCTTCTGGACCACCAACTTCTTATCATGTTCGTCTTTCGTCAACTCCATGATTAGCGTTGTTGTGTTGCCGTTCCGAATTGCAGCTCGTAGAGCGTCTCCCATGTACGATGGGCGTCGAGCGCAGCAGTTCGTAGCGCTTCCCGAGTCATCTCTACAGTAAGGGATGCTTCATAAGGGAGTGCGTAACTGCTTATGCACACACCAAGTTTTCCTCGTAAGCTATCTACAAGAACGGCTCGCGGTGTGCGCTGATGTTGATTTCACATAATCTCTGTGACAGCACTTTTTCGGCCTAAACGTTTCCACTGACGGACGTTGATAGCGCCCTCCTATTGCTGCGAAACAACTCATCATACCGTTGGCTTTCTTTTTCCTGTCTCTTACGGGGACGCTTCACGAAGGGCACGTATCTTCGTTTGTATTCCGACGTTGCTGCTGTATCCGGATGACACTTGTCGTTCCGGACGAACACATTTTGCCACTGCAACTTATTTCCTCGCCAGCCTAACGCGTGGTGTCGTAAGTGTTCACCCCAATGATCTGATGCTGAATTGCACTCACCCGTATCGGGGTGGACTGACACACGATTCTCGGTTTGCCTGTCGCGTAGACTAACAGCCCCCCCAGGTAGGTCATGAGGAAGTACTCCGGAAGCTGCCAGCAGATCTTCTGCAGGCGCTGGTATTGCCGAGAATGCACGCCCGTCGAAGGCAGAAGTCAACAAATTCAGTCATGGTCTTATCACGCGGCGCCACCACCACAGTGAACGCAATATTCCAGGCTGATGCGCTGATAGACGTGGTGCTACTCGGATTGGGAGGCGCTAGAATGATTCAGATCCCGATATTCATGAAGAAACAGCGTATTGTTTTTTCTTGCTTTGAGCATTTTGTCCCTGGACGACCACGTCGTATTACGATCTGCGAATACTGGAGAAAAAAAGCGGGCGAGGGGACAAAGCTAGAGGCAACGACCAACGACAGCAGGGTAGCCCCCCCGCTCGCGCGCCTGTTGGCATGGAGCACAAATCGTGAACACATGTGCACCCAACACAAAACAACCTCGTCGCGCCACCAATAACGTCCTTCCGGCTACGCCACCGTCACGTCATTGTATCGATAATGCTTTATCGTACACATGATCGTTGATTTCCGCCTGGACCACGCGGTACTGTGATGAACAACATACAGTTTGCCTTGCGAAGATGGTGCAAATGCGCACTGTGCCATCCGTGTGTGTCAACGCGGGGTGTCTGCAACACTCCAACTGATAGCCACTACTGCTCGCTGAGAACAGCTCAAAAAGTCGCTCTATTGTGAGGGCGCCCTGGATGAGCGGTCTATCGCCGCGAAAGCGGGATGCAGCGGTGTCACGAGATCTTGTGTTCGTTTGCTAAACAAGGCATGTTGCAAAACAAGGGGTCGCTACATCGGGGCCCCAACAAACGCAAGCGGTTCAATCTGTGCTTCTTGTACGAAACAATCGTGCTGAACACCGTGAACACGTCGATTCGTGAATGATACACCCAAAGTATATTCTGCTTGTTAGTCCGAGATGGAAAGCTCAAAATAGTTATTGCGCTAGGGCGTGCCAACTATCCGTGTACAGAGGACATTCTACAGGGTGCAACCTCCAGAACCGAAGTCCACAAGCTCACATTATGCACCGCATAAACAACACCAATGCTCCACACAGCAGTTTTACAACTCCGTGTCAAAAGAGCCAACCCTATCTCGACCAATTTACCCTCAAACCTCACAGGTGGTGGGACGAACGGTTTCATGCTTACGTGGGACTTGGGTACGGGATTGGGGGGGTGTTTGTAGTTTTTTTGTTGCTGGAGTTATGATGCACTGATGATGGAGCTTTCAAAAATTGCGGAACGTTCCAAATGTTGGTCTGCAGACCTCATGTGCAACGTTCCGACAACGAGATTGATGCGATATGCGATAAATTGCCCTTCTGTCTCGGAGCTGCCATTCACATTCACCCCCAACAAACTTAGGGACACCTGCTCAACGCTCCTACATCACGAATGTGTGACATCGGGGCCTCCATAATGGATTTCCGCCGGAGCACAACAGACCCACGGCGACTACGCAGGCGGTTCAGGGATCGCATCAAACAAGCCCGCACCAAAGTTGCTATCAACGACAGGAAGCGTGCCACCCTCCAACAACATTATCCCCGTCAACGAGGAGAGATGAGTTACCGAAACACAACGGCTTCTGTCGACAAGAAGCGCCAAGCCAATAAACGTAAATCTGCCATTCTTGCAGCAAAGGAGAGTCATCTCGACAACATTTTACTGACGGAGAAGGACTTATCGTGCCTACACAGCATAATCAGTCAATGACGTCAAGCCTTCGAAGTTGCGAGGGAACAAATGAATGTTTCATCTGTGATGGGGTTACAAGCTCTGAGGGAGTCAAGAGGAATACATATGCTGCATTAACGGATAGTGCGTTCTTTCAAGACTACCACCCGTTCCTCGTGTCCAACAGGACACATACACGTCTCACTCATCTCACTCATCCGCGAAAAACGTTTCGTAATGAACCACGGGCATACACCTGCCGTTGAAGGTTCTCGGCCATGAATGTCCAAGACGGTGAGGTGAACAAGACGTGTGGTGATCATCTCTTGTTCGTCCCAGGGAGGTGGGACAGAGACACACTCGAGGCTCTTTCGCATATCATGTTTTGCTTTTAGTGTTCTCCGTCCGTGCTCATCACGACTCATACACGACGGTTCAGAAAATTAGTATTGTAAGCCGTTGCTACCGTACCGCGGAAGTAGAGCACGAAGTTCTTCTTGGAAGACTGATCGACTTCCTCCCTGAGGTACCAAATACCTACGGTGATTCTCGTGCACAACACCAGCACAGAGCTTCACGCGATTGTTCGTTTTTCTTTGATTTCCCGTAGAGAACATGGATTTTACTTGTTTTCGTTACGACGCGGCGCGTTACGATGGAGTCTGAAACAAAGAGTAGACGATTCCGGAAACCGGCAACACGGGGTTTAACTCAATCCGCGTTCCCTCACGACTATCACGTTGCTTCGTGTGTTCTCTATCTACAGACATGTCTCGGCGTTTCCACCCGGTCTTCGCATGCATCCATTAAACAGGACATTCATATCCGCGATGGAACGCATACACGAACACATTAGTACAAAATGTCATCTTCTCCACTCCGTCGACCGATTCATGCAATATCCCACGACCATATGCTTGCTCCACCATTATGTGCCGCATGTACATGTGTGCTCAACATCGAGCAATTTCGAATGACCCTGTCCTTGCGCTTTTTTGGTACACCAATGTTCTCGACACACGATTCACCTAGGCCAACGTCAACCTTTGGACCTCTACCGTGACACCAAGTCACAAACGACACGCGAATGATGAGTACGCGAAGGTTGACCGCATTATCTTCACCTTGCGTCTGCCCTACGCATGCTGCACTCTTCGTCTCGCCCCGCCCCTCCTCTATTACCTCTCCGTACAAATGCTTCATTCCTACCCTCTCTTGCATTGCGGTTCGGGTCGCGCCGCCCGTTAGGGGCGGGGGATCCTTTCGATGTCCTAATTCAGTTTTGCTCTTTCTAGTTTTTTTCTTGAGGTGGGGCATACGCCCAACAACGTGGAAAACGAGTATATTTACTCAACCTTGAGTAAATCCTTGAGAAAGTACTTCAAATATACTCAACTTTTACTGAAGCCTTCGAGTAAGTAAATCGACAATACTCATTCGTGCTCAGGCGTTTTAGTAAGTATTTCAATACTACTCAGCCGTACTCACCAACCGACTTTGAGATTGCTTGATCAAAATACTCTGAGTACGGCGTTTAGAAAAGTATTTCTAGACACACCCCTTGGAGATTCTGTTTGGCCAATCATCCCTGGTCGACCGATAACGTCGCCCATGGTCGTGACGTCATCTCTTGGGAAACTCTCATAAAACCTTCACTTTGCTAAGGGTCCAGGCGCTATGATCCGGTGAGATTGGTGGCCTACACATGTACATACCTAGCGAAATCGGGGCACGTGAGCCGGAGATCGTTCTCCCCAGAGACTTCACGTCGAGCTTGGACTGTGCCAAATCGTCTGGGGTCGCTGATGGTGCTAAGAACGAACGGCCACATTAGGAGGAAGAAAGGGCAGTACGATTAGGACCTCACCAGTCCATGCTAAAAAAGCTTCATGGTGGTACGAACAATTCAGGCTGAAGGACCACCAGAGATGTGGACAAGGCACCAGAGATGTGGACAAGGCATGGCAATTGGTGGATGACGAGGCGTCAGAACCAGAAAAACAAAATTTACAACGGACCTACTAGAAGGAGCACAAATGTATATGCCCAATGATGAGCGCAAATACGAGGCAACACCCAGCGACCGGGGCGGAGGAGTCGGTCTCTTCTCGAGAGTCATCCTAGGGTGATCACGTGTAATTGCAACGAAGTACCGAAAAAACGCCTTGCTTAACGATCGGGAATAGTTTGGCGTTGGTACGCTGCTTATTCTTTGCTTGGGTTCACCTGCCCACCTTTCCTGCAAAACCAGGAGCCGAATAGAACGGCATAGGGAACAAGTGCGATGGTGTACGATACGCTATCCTTCCCCCGGCACTCTCCGGGTGATCGTTGCAGATGTGGTGTATCGAAAAGCCCGCCAAGAAATACTTCCAACACGCATACGGCCAATTTTCGATGATGCAGGCAACGCGGCGATGCGAACGTACTCGAAACATATATATATTCACTACTATTGATTATCCATCGCGGCATTCCCAGGAGGAGTAGCCGGTGCCTCCTCGACCTTTGCACGCAGCGCAGCAGTTTCGAAACGTACCCTTGACCTCTTCTTTCCCCGAGTCGTCACGGCTCGCGAGTTGCTCATCGGTGTCGGGGGGAGCGCTTTCTTCGTCGTTTTTGCTCTCGCTGTTGCCAACTTCGTCGCTGCCCCCGCCGTTACCGGTGGAGTCGTTGAATCTCATCGAATCAACTTCCCCGCCCGGGGCTGAAAACACGGACAACAAGAAATCGAGGTATTGCTTCAGGTGTTAAGATGTACAGCATACCCATTATGATGCTACAAGTCAGCGCTGAAGGCTACCGTACAAGTCAGCGCTGGAGCGGATGTGCTGTACATCTTAACAAAAGTACAACCGGGGTTCGAATACAGTTGATGCCCGCACTTTAGAATATGGCACTTAAGAATATGGTGTTAAAAAAAAAAAAAACTTAAGAATTTGCCGGTAAGAACACGTGCTCAGATTGCACCTGCAATTAAGAATAAGAACGCACGCCTGAGGTGTACCACTGCTGCTAAAGGTAAGAACAAGAGCACATTAAACAGCTGCGAGATAAGAACATTCGAACGGGGAGGGGGGGACGGGCGGGGGGGTGATCCAAGTATTGGATTTGGCAGGGGGGTAGGTGTGCCGAAGGTGGGTGCATACATACACCTCGGAATCTGCAATTTTTGCAGGGGAGAGGGTGGGCACTGTACACGTCGCGCCCCCTTGGCGGCTGCCAGACCACGCACGTGCAGCGGGCCACGAGTTGCCTGCCGTACAGGGGGATCATGTTCCTGTCCAATCCCTCATCTCATGGGTTGTTGAAAGATCTTGGCAAACTTGCAGAGTTGAAAGGACGGGGTCTGATTCTTGACCGTCACTTCGAGACGATAAAAACACATGTGAAGGCGGGAAACTCCGTCGCGAAGGAGCGGTGGGACGCCATCGAGAGCGCGTGGGGGTTGAAGAAGAACGGTATCTTCGACGAAGGACAGTGGATCGCGCAGATTGATGGTGAAATCCAGGGCATTACCAGCAGCACCCGCCTGTCCTTGCCATCCCAACAAGATGCCAGCAGCGCACGAGGTGCTGCTGCACCTTCTCAGCACCCACCTGCTGCTGCAGCGGGTACCGCGAGGAGGAAGGTGGAACGAGAGAAGCACGCCAGGGAGAGAGCTGCCAAAGGTACTTTAGGCGGCAGCATCTGCAACGCGTTTTCGATTGGCAGCGGACAACCGGTGAGTTCGGTTGCACATGTATCCGACGCACGCTGTTGCTTTGTTTTGCTAAGGTGTTATTTTTTTTTTATTCCCGATAGTCTGAGCAAGAGAAAAAATGATAGGTAAGTTTTTTAGTCTCATGTGACCCAAACGAAACAGACGTCATCTCCCCACTCTCTCGCGTGATTCACGATAATCACTTCAAGGAAGTATTCGTTCAGAGTGCATAGATACTTTGCCAGCGGCATCCACGGAAGTTTGAATTCAACAGCGCCACAACTAAGAGCGACTGACACCTCACATGGTTCGTTGAATCCCCTACACGGCAATTCCGCACTTTCCCATCGCACCGAGCAGATTGAGCGGACTCGTGGTGGAGTAAAAGAGTTCGTATCCGGTATCAGCTTCCCGCCTCCGGCCCCGGAGTCCCGACGATCCTGCCCTCACTGTCCCATGACCTTCATGAACGAGCAAGGCCTTGGGATCCACGTGAGAACGCAACACAGCAGTGCAACCATGTCCAACGGCGTGCGGCTGCGGCGGATGCTACGGAAGAATCTCGGAGGGCGTGTCCTGCCGTGGGAAGAAGCCGGGCCTGGGCGTTGTTGGCACGTGAAGGTCGATGATGCGACGGGGGCGGCTTCGTTTGTCCTCCAGCGGAAGCGCTTTCTCGATCTAGACTTGGAAAGCGACGGCTTTATGGACCGCGAAACCAAGGAAGCTCGTGGAGCTTCCAAGCGCAGGCGATACGACTATAGGTTCAAAGCCAATGCTGTCAACCAGCTGCGCATCCTCGAGGACAACGCCGCGGACCTCTGCAAGGAAGAGGAGCGCACGCCTCTTCAGTACTTAGAGGATCGTCTCAAGGTTCACTACAGCAACATCGTGAAGTGGGCCAAGGACGAGAAGGCCATAGTCGCGGCGGCAGCAGACGACGTGAAGAAGAGCCTCCTCGCCAAGCAGCAGCCTAAGCGGTGGTTTCCTGAGGCAGAAAAGAGGCTTTACAAGATGTTCGTGGAGCAGTGTAAGGGGAAGCTGAAGGTATCGACCCTGTGGCTGACGATCACGTTCCGGGAGCTCGTGGGAGAGATGTATCCCGGGGACCAACGGGCGGCGGCGTTCCGCGCATCCTTCAGGTGGGCACGAAATTGGGCCAAGAGGCGCAACCTGTCCAAAAGACGTCGGACCAACCTCAAATTCAAGTCTGTTGAGGAGCGTCTACCAAAGATCAGGCGCTTCCACCGACTGTTTCGCAAGTTCCTGCAAGAGCCGGTACGGTACAGGACGCCCGATGAATCAGACGTATCGGCGATTACGACGGTCGCAGAGAGGGAGTCCAGAGTTTCCAAGTATGGCCATTTCCAGCTCTGGGAGCGTTGGAATGTGGATCAAGTGCCTTTGGCATTCGTAAACGGGCTGCTCGATACGTGGAAGGAGCGAGGTGCGAAGCATGTCGCCATCTCACAGCTCTTTCCTGGCCTAGAGAAAAGGCAGTGCACCATGCAAGTCATCTTTGGTCCGGGTGAGAAGGGCTTGCGAATTTCGGTGATTTTCCGAGGCACGGGGAAGCGGATCTCGCCGGTGAAGAAGGCCGCGTACCACAAGGACGTGGACGTGTTTTCCCAGGAGAATGGAGTGGGCCGACCAAAGTTCTGTATGGAGTGGGCTAAGAGGTCCTACCGCGAAGGACTGATGCGTGGGCGGGGTGAGCTTCCNATGTGTTCTTGTACCAAACAACAGCATTGTTCCTCATGCTAAACACTACAAACACTCCGCCGAGTGCAGTTGACAGCCGCCAACAAAGTACNGGCTTGCGAATTTCGGTGATTTTCCGAGGCACGGGGAAGCGGATCTCGCCGGTGAAGAAGGCCGCGTACCACAAGGACGTGGACGTGTTTTCCCAGGAGAATGGAGTGGGCCGACCAAAGTTCTGTATGGAGTGGGCTAAGAGGTCCTACCGCGAAGGACTGATGCGTGGGCGGGGTGAGCTTCCCAAGGCGAGGTCCATTCTTATCATGGACAACTTGCACGCGCCGACGACGGACGAGTTCAAGGAGTATCTTGCAATGGAGTGCAACACNGGAAGATTTCGCTGGAGAAGAATGGGACGGCGAAATAAGAACATGGCCATTAACAACACGTGCTCGGGTTGGGGCAGCCAATAAGAACTGAGCCTCGCTCAAAANAAGAAGGCCGCGTACCACAAGGACGTGGACGTGTTTTCCCAGGAGAATGGAGTGGGCCGACCAAAGTTCTGTATGGAGTGGGCTAAGAGGTCCTACCGCGAAGGACTGATGCGTGGGCGGGGTGAGCTTCCCAAGGCGAGGTCCATTCTTATCATGGACAACTTGCACGCGCCGACGACGGACGAGTTCAAGGAGTATCTTGCAATGGAGTGCAACACTCTCGCCTGGTATGGCCCTTCGGAGTGCACGGACGAGGTGCAGCCAGTTGATGCAGGAGCCGGACGAGTTATCAAGGTGGAAGCTGGGAGGCAGATGGACATGTGGCTCGAGCAGTCGGACAACCTCGAGAGGTGGGAAACCGCGGCGCTGACAGCTTCTGATCGGCGGGAACTGATCACTCAGCGGATTGGAGCGGCCATTGCAAGACTCAACAGCCAACAGGCGTTCCGCTTCCGCCTTTTCGAAAAGTGCAGGATGGCCATGACTGTGGACGGCTCAGGCGATGATCGGATCACCGTGGAGGGTTTGGACAAGCCGTACACCTTCGCAAACGATGAAGACTGTAGCGAGGACGAAGAAGGTTTGGAGAACGGCAGCGATGAGCCTGAGGGGCGGGGGAAGGAGGGCGATGGACGTGAGACGGTCGTGGAGGGCGCTGATTCCAGCGATGATGAAGACGACGGCGGTAAGTTTGATTTGCACTTGACCCAATCTTTGTCATTTCCTTGTTGATGACGATGTCCATGTTGATATTTGCTTGGATTTTGCTGATGTGCTGTTTCCGCGTTCACGACTACGAGCAAATATGATGGGTTCATGTTGAGTGTCGGCCGTGACACCACACTTCGTGTGGTGTTTCACGGTGCCCCGTTCGCAGGCACGTCTCAAACCCAGACCGATGAGCTAGCTCTTATCGACGACGACGACAGCATGGACCCACAAGACCCGGAGGACGAGACACAAGGAATGGAGATCCCGACAGGCTTTCGCATTCAAGAAGTTCAACCCGTTGCTCTTGACAGATTGCTTTTGCGACGTGGAGTGCTCGTTAGGCTGGGGATGGGGTGGTTTTGAGGGTTGATCAATCAACTATCTCAGCAGGACACTCGCCACCTGTACCACTACTGTGTGCAGCTGGAGCTAGACCAGAGTACGCGCAAGATGAAGCTGCCCTTAGACAAGTACACCGGAGATCTGGATGCGGCGGTAGGCTCCTGGGTTTTGCTTGAGAGCGCTAGTAGATTGGGGAGGGTACGCAGGACCAACGTCACCCTTGTGGACCAAGATGGTTGACAGTTGCTGCTGCATGCCTTGATGTGTTCTTGTACCAAACAACAGCATTGTTCCTCATGCTAAACACTACAAACACTCCGCCGAGTGCAGTTGACAGCCGCCAACAAAGTACGTCGTCATACAACGTACGCCAACAGGGCCAATTGGTGTTGAAATAAGAACAGGAAGATTTCGCTGGAGAAGAATGGGACGGCGAAATAAGAACATGGCCATTAACAACACGTGCTCGGGTTGGGGCAGCCAATAAGAACTGAGCCTCGCTCAAAATAGGAGGTTCTTAAGTGCGGGCCTCAACTGTACCTCGGGGGCCATTTAAGACGCCATTTTTCCGGGGAAAATGGTCTGGGATACACGCCTGAAAGTCACGGCATACATTCCAGTCGTCCAAATGAAGACACACATATTCCCGCCTGTAAGTCGACGAAACCGCATGGGGCAGCGCTGATTGCCGGGATTTCAACCCTGGGATTCGTACAGAGGTCCAACAGCTCAAACGAGTTGAAGGACCCCAGTTATACTTTTGTTGAGATGCACAGATATCCACTATGCTACAACTCAGCTCTGAAGTCAGCGCTGGCTTGTAGCACAGTGGATATGCCGTACACCTACATATCAGGTACACCACAGCGGGCGGTCCTTCGTAGCTTGATTCAGGCCCGAGGGGTACACATGCATGACAGTTCCTCTTGGGGTTGGAAAACACGCACGCAATGACAAAAGGGACTACGGAGTCAGCCACAATGTTGGAGCCCTCTCTGGTTTCCGTGCAATCGGACTCAAACCAATACCGATAGTGAGTTCCAACCGAGTGCGGAGTGTGCGGAACGCTAAATGGAGTTATTTGGTTGTTGTTTTTGTGGTCTTCACAAAAAAACTAAACCCGTTCCGGTCTTCGCTCAGTACCTTCTAACTGTGTAGGGGGAATGATTGCCCCCCCGCCCCATGGGGCGGGCGGCCAGCATGCTTGGGATGGGTGCGGCGGTTCGACAGGCAGAGGAGAGGAAGTAGACGCGGTGATGACATCGAAGGTTGTGGAAGTTGGCTAAGATGACGTGAGGTCCACACGTCATTTTTAGCGTAGATCTGTGCTTAGTCTATGCATAAAAAACAAAACGAGAAACAATTGTCCTCTGAAAAATGTCGATGGCCGATCAACAAATGTAAGTGTGCGGAAGACGGGGGTGGCAAAAGTTGCGAAGAGAAAATTGGGGGAAGACGACGCTGTATGAAATGGACAAAATACAGGTAACGTTCGTTGTCAACGGCGGCCCTGTCGGCGTGGATGAAGGTTTGGGCGGTGTCTCACCCGTCCGCGTGCGAGTGTTTGTTGTAGGGCCGCCGGCAGCGAAGTCCGGCGGAAGTTGAAGTCTCTCTGTACCGCAACATTAAGATTTGAGTTATAATGTCTCAGGTGCGACACCTTCAAATGTATCTGTACTGGTCCGACTGATGTGGCCGCCTTTTCCTTCCGAGGTCCAAGCCAAACTACCCAGCACAGGGTGCACCTGTGTAGAATCAAAGAACGGCAAAACTTTGGACCCCGAAAATTCCGCCAAACGCGCGCGATACAGCCGTGGGGGGTCCTCAATAGTGTATGGACCAGACCAGCATATCCGCACTACTCAGAGCCACCGGCACTATCGGAGCACAGAATTGCTGGCTATTCCGTCTGTGCCCGCCGAAAACACCGGCACTATACCGGGCATTGGCACTATCCAACAGGCACTACTAACGCCCCCCCAGCTGTAAGTAGCAGCAGATCACAAGAAACTTGAACCGGGGGAGGGACGCACCCCCCCAAAAAATATATACAGGAATGGGAAGTTCCCATTCAAAAAAATATGATGACGGCGGAGTGCACCGTAGCTAGCCTGACGTAAGATACCACACCCCCTGGACCGATTTTCAAATCTCGCCTACTCCACCACGACGAAGAGATTGCCCAGACCAAATGATACCTTCTTGGACAGCTCTCGACGAGACGGTTCCATTGCCGCTATTCTCGGCACCGTCACTGTTTTTTTTGCCCGAGAGCTTTCAAAACCGGTCCAAGGGGTGTGGTATCTGATGCAAGCTATGTACGGTGTCATATCTTACGCAACGTACGGTGTCAACCTTATGCAACGTGCGGTATTCGTCGCCGGGATTGCACCGGCCTAGCCATCTCCCACACGCTCTACTACGCTCGACATCCGATCCACACCATACATGTAAGTACGTCTGAGGATCGTTCCATTGAATACATCGGGTTCAATGAGAAGGGGGAGACGAATGTCTGGTATTCCTAGCGGGGTGCGGAGTAAAAGACATTTGTTTGCCCATCTGAGGGCTGTTTTAAACGGACCGACTTGTTGTCAAAATTTTTGAAAGTGTCAAAAAAATGGAACCTGTATGTAGGCGTTTGTCCATTTTTTTCAAAAATATTTGGAACGAAGTTGGGCGCGAAAACTTTGCTCCACTTCGTTCCAATTTTTTGACAACCCTCTCAAAGTATTTGGAGCACTTTCCAAAGTACCCTTGCAGAGGCACGCGAGGGCTGCTGCGTCTGCACCACGAGTGCCCCTCACCGTAGAAAGTCAGCTAGGGTTGTGTGTGAGTCATCTGTCGCTGTCGCTATTGCTATCGTCGCTGTTGCCAACGTTGACGATGCTGTCTGCTGTTGCTGTGTCGTCCGAAAAACGGCGGTCCGCCATGATGGCTTGCAGTTGTTGCTTCGCGTCCGCCGCTTTGTTTTTTCCTTTTCCCGGGGGGGTAGGAGCAGTGGTTGCCACCCCTCGCCGGAGGCCTGCTCCACCCTCGCTCTGAGTGTTGGTGGCGGCAGCGCCTCCCGTGGTAACATGAGTGTTCCCCGAGATGCCAGGCAGCAGCACTATCTTGCTGGAGAGCAAGCCTCCACCGCCTACGGCGGCACCGAGAGAGCCCGTCTGCTGGAATTTCGCCGGGGTTTTGGTCTGCCGGCCACGCTGGGTGGTCGTGATATCCATGTCGGTGTCCATGATGTGTTTTCCGCGGTTTGTGTTGTGTCGTGTGTGTTGTCTCGAAGTGAGCGCTACAACTCACGGACGGCGTCATTTTTTTTTACACAAGTTGCACAAGTCCACGTCACACGTTTAAAATGACTGCACACAGGTTCCAAGTTTTTGAAAGACAAAAGTCGAAAATTTTGACAAAAAAGTCGGTCCGTTTAAAACGGCCGTGAGTGCCTGGGTGCCCAAGTGCGGAGGTATGGAGCTCCAAGATAACTGCTCACTGCTGCGGCAGACTGTTTGAGATGCGATACTGGCAGCTTCTGCTGATGACCGGTTGGCCCGGTTTCCGCTGAGCAGATTCGAGAGGCACGGATTCGAGACGGAAGAAGGCGGCATGAGAGAAATGGAAAACTCTTATTGCACTACACCTAGAATGTTCACCCCGGGTGGGTGACCCTGGATGGTTATATTTAGTTGTCTAGACACATACTACAAAACTACACAGAAACGTTGTAGTGCTCTACATTCATTCACGTCTCACCAAAATGGGGGTACTGTCGCCACAGTAACATCCTAATACCTAGGACGAAAAAGATTACAAACATAGACTGTAGTGGAGAATGTAACTCTCGGCAGTTGTTCTTGGAAAGGCACAGCGCCGTGAAACTTTCCTTCAACAGGGGGACAATATCTCAACATCAGAAAATCATTCATCTCACTCTGTGTGGCAAACTTTCTGTAAAAAACAATGGTTATGGGTATAGAGCACATCATCCGCAATTAATTCTCTGATGGGTGTATATCAACACATCAGGATCAACGTGAAGATTCAGTACGTATTTGAATCTGTGGTTTGTGGAGGCGTGTTGGAATTCGGAAAGAAGCAAGGATGTGCGGGGAAACTGAAGAGCACCACGAGGTCAGAACGTTTGTGTGTTCTCGCTGGGCGAGAGGCAAGCCAACGCGTGCTTGAGAGAAGAGGCTTCAGATAGATAGCTCCGAGGAGCAGCAGACACCACTGGGTGCCTTCTGGGAATTGATCGATTTTCGCGCCCACCCACACCTATCGCTCAAGAGAGGGAGGAGCCTGGGGGGGGCTAGTCGGTCGACGACTAGAGGGTATTCAGTGTATAGGAGTAGAGTTATTGAGTAAGATCTGTTTAGGCCAGAGGCCGAAAACAAAAAGATGAATAGTTGAGCAACCTGGGCAGGTTACTAACTAAAGGGTTTGTCCGATGAGAAATGTTGGGAGCAAGGAAGCGCTTTATCTGCGCTCTCAATTACAAGTAGTTGTTTTGTGTCTTGGTTTTTCTTTGTTGCCTGCAGAAAAATAATCCAGAATTCTTGAGCAAACACCCTCCGTTTTGTCGTGTGAATTCAAACTCTCTCTCATATGCCTTTCACCGCAACGCCTCGCAGTGTCCTTTCCAGCCCGCAGAAGAAGATAGGGAGAGGAAATAAATGTGAAAATTAATTTGATTGAACTAAAAAAAATTCGGAAGCAACTGGAATATACGATGTAAAAAGTGCTGCAGCGGCAGTTGTTGTTGTCTTCACATACATTAAGAACCGTTCCGATCTCGCTCTACCCAGTACCTTCGTATGTATGTCCGTACTGATCCAACACTCGACGCGGTCGATTCCCGTGGTCACAGGTTAACTTACCCTAAATTAAGGTACTTTCTCGAACGGTCGGTGCGGTACCTGTTCTTTTCATTCTATCATACAGATTGTTTTCTTTTTCCGAGTGGTTTGTACCCTATATTTGTTTTGTTTCCCCGTGGCGTCTATATATGTGCCGGGTTTTGAGACCACGGGCTCCCCATTTTTCTGGACGACAGAGCGAATGTGAGAAACAACAAGAGAAGTAACCAAAAA